TTCAATTCAATTCAATTCAATTCAATTCAATTCAATTCAATTCAATTCAATTCAATTCAATTCAATTCAATTCAATTCAATTCAATTCAATTCAATTCAATTCAATTCAATTCAATTCAATTCAATTCAATTCAATTCAATTCAATTCAATTCAATTCAATTCAATTCAATTCAATTCAATTCAATTCAATTCAATTCAATTCAATTCAATTCAATTCAATTCAATTCAATTCAATTCAATTCAATTCAATTCAATTCAATTCAATTCAATTCAATTCAATTCAATTCAATTCAATTCAATTCAATTCAATTCAATTCAATTCAATTCAATTCAATTCAATTCAATTCAATTCAATTCAATTCAATTCAATTCAATTCAATTCAATTCAATTCAATTCAATTCAATTCAATTCAATTCAATTCAATTCAATTCAATTCAATTCAATTCAATTCAATTCAATTCAATTCAATTCAATTCAATTCAATTCAATTCAATTCAATTCAATTCAATTCAATTCAATTCAATTCAATTCAATTCAATTCAATTCAATTCAATTCAATTCAATTCAATTCAATTCAATTCAATTCAATTCAATTCAATTCAATTCAATTCAATTCAATTCAATTCAATTCAATTCAATTCAATTCAATTCAATTCAATTCAATTCAATTCAATTCAATTCAATTCAATTCAATTCAATTCAATTCAATTCAATTCAATTCAATTCAATTCAATTCAATTCAATTCAATTCAATTCAATTCAATTCAATTCAATTCAATTCAATTCAATTCAATTCAATTCAATTCAATTCAATTCAATTCAATTCAATTCAATTCAATTCAATTCAATTCAATTCAATTCAATTCAATTCAATTCAATTCAATTCAATTCAATTCAATTCAATTCAATTCAATTCAATTCAATTCAATTCAATTCAATTCAATTCAATTCAATTCAATTCAATTCAATTCAATTCAATTCAATTCAATTCAATTCAATTCAATTCAATTCAATTCAATTCAATTCAATTCAATTCAATTCAATTCAATTCAATTCAATTCAATTCAATTCAATTCAATTCAATTCAATTCAATTCAATTCAATTCAATTCAATTCAATTCAATTCAATTCAATTCAATTCAATTCAATTCAATTCAATTCAATTCAATTCAATTCAATTCAATTCAATTCAATTCAATTCAATTCAATTCAATTCAATTCAATTCAATTCAATTCAATTCAATTCAATTCAATTCAATTCAATTCAATTCAATTCAATTCAATTCAATTCAATTCAATTCAATTCAATTCAATTCAATTCAATTCAATTCAATTCAATTCAATTCAATTCAATTCAATTCAATTCAATTCAATTCAATTCAATTCAATTCAATTCAATTCAATTCAATTCAATTCAATTCAATTCAATTCAATTCAATTCAATTCAATTCAATTCAATTCAATTCAATTCAATTCAATTCAATTCAATTCAATTCAATTCAATTCAATTCAATTCAATTCAATTCAATTCAATTCAATTCAATTCAATTCAATTCAATTCAATTCAATTCAATTCAATTCAATTCAATTCAATTCAATTCAATTCAATTCAATTCAATTCAATTCAATTCAATTCAATTCAATTCAATTCAATTCAATTCAATTCAATTCAATTCAATTCAATTCAATTCAATTCAATTCAATTCAATTCAATTCAATTCAATTCAATTCAATTCAATTCAATTCAATTCAATTCAATTCAATTCAATTCAATTCAATTCAATTCAATTCAATTCAATTCAATTCAATTCAATTCAATTCAATTCAATTCAATTCAATTCAATTCAATTCAATTCAATTCAATTCAATTCAATTCAATTCAATTCAATTCAATTCAATTCAATTCAATTCAATTCAATTCAATTCAATTCAATTCAATTCAATTCAATTCAATTCAATTCAATTCAATTCAATTCAATTCAATTCAATTCAATTCAATTCAATTCAATTCAATTCAATTCAATTCAATTCAATTCAATTCAATTCAATTCAATTCAATTCAATTCAATTCAATTCAATTCAATTCAATTCAATTCAATTCAATTCAATTCAATTCAATTCAATTCAATTCAATTCAATTCAATTCAATTCAATTCAATTCAATTCAATTCAATTCAATTCAATTCAATTCAATTCAATTCAATTCAATTCAATTCAATTCAATTCAATTCAATTCAATTCAATTCAATTCAATTCAATTCAATTCAATTCAATTCAATTCAATTCAATTCAATTCAATTCAATTCAATTCAATTCAATTCAATTCAATTCAATTCAATTCAATTCAATTCAATTCAATTCAATTCAATTCAATTCAATTCAATTCAATTCAATTCAATTCAATTCAATTCAATTCAATTCAATTCAATTCAATTCAATTCAATTCAATTCAATTCAATTCAATTCAATTCAATTCAATTCAATTCAATTCAATTCAATTCAATTCAATTCAATTCAATTCAATTCAATTCAATTCAATTCAATTCAATTCAATTCAATTCAATTCAATTCAATTCAATTCAATTCAATTCAATTCAATTCAATTCAATTCAATTCAATTCAATTCAATTCAATTCAATTCAATTCAATTCAATTCAATTCAATTCAATTCAATTCAATTCAATTCAATTCAATTCAATTCAATTCAATTCAATTCAATTCAATTCAATTCAATTCAATTCAATTCAATTCAATTCAATTCAATTCAATTCAATTCAATTCAATTCAATTCAATTCAATTCAATTCAATTCAATTCAATTCAATTCAATTCAATTCAATTCAATTCAATTCAATTCAATTCAATTCAATTCAATTCAATTCAATTCAATTCAATTCAATTCAATTCAATTCAATTCAATTCAATTCAATTCAATTCAATTCAATTCAATTCAATTCAATTCAATTCAATTCAATTCAATTCAATTCAATTCAATTCAATTCAATTCAATTCAATTCAATTCAATTCAATTCAATTCAATTCAATTCAATTCAATTCAATTCAATTCAATTCAATTCAATTCAATTCAATTCAATTCAATTCAATTCAATTCAATTCAATTCAATTCAATTCAATTCAATTCAATTCAATTCAATTCAATTCAATTCAATTCAATTCAATTCAATTCAATTCAATTCAATTCAATTCAATTCAATTCAATTCAATTCAATTCAATTCAATTCAATTCAATTCAATTCAATTCAATTCAATTCAATTCAATTCAATTCAATTCAATTCAATTCAATTCAATTCAATTCAATTCAATTCAATTCAATTCAATTCAATTCAATTCAATTCAATTCAATTCAATTCAATTCAATTCAATTCAATTCAATTCAATTCAATTCAATTCAATTCAATTCAATTCAATTCAATTCAATTCAATTCAATTCAATTCAATTCAATTCAATTCAATTCAATTCAATTCAATTCAATTCAATTCAATTCAATTCAATTCAATTCAATTCAATTCAATTCAATTCAATTCAATTCAATTCAATTCAATTCAATTCAATTCAATTCAATTCAATTCAATTCAATTAATTCAATTCAATTCAATTCAATTCAATTCAATTCAATTCAATTCAATTCAATTCAATTCAATTCAATTCAATTCAATTCAATTCAATTCAATTCAATTCAATTCAATTCAATTCAATTCAATTCAATTCAATTCAATTCAATTCAATTCAATTCAATTCAATTCAATTCAATTCAATTCAATTCAATTCAATTCAATTCAATTCAATTCAATTCAATTCAATTCAATTCAATTCAATTCAATTCAATTCAATTCAATTCAATTCAATTCAATTCAATTCAATTCAATTCAATTCAATTCAATTCAATTCAATTCAATTCAATTCAATTCAATTCAATTCAATTCAATTCAATTCAATTCAATTCAATTCAATTCAATTCAATTCAATTCAATTCAATTCAATTCAATTCAATTCAATTCAATTCAATTCAATTCAATTCAATTCAATTCAATTCAATTCAATTCAATTCAATTCAATTCAATTCAATTCAATACAATTCAATTCAATTCAATTCAATTCAATTCAATTCAATTCAATTCAATTCAATTCAATTCAATTCAATTCAATTCAATTCAATTCAATTCATTTCAATTCAATTCGATTCAATTCAATTCAATTCAATTCAATTCAATTCAATTCAATTCAATTCAATTCAATTCAATTCAATTCAATTCAATTCAATTCAATTCAATTCAATTCAATTCAATTCAATTCAATTCAATTCAATTCAATTCAATTCAATTCAATTCAATTCAATTCAATTCAATTCAATTCAATTCAATTCAATTCAATTCAATTCAATTCAATTCAATTCAATTCAATTCAATTCAATTCAATTCAATTCAATTCAATTCAATTCAATTCAATTCAATTCAATTCAATTCAATTCAATTCAATTCAATTCAATTCAATTCAATTCAATTCAATTCAATTCAATTCAATTCAATTCAATTCAATTCAATTCAATTCAATTCAATTCAATTCAATTCAATTCAATTCAATTCAATTCAATTCAATTCAATTCAATTCAATTCAATTCAATTCAATTCAATTCAATTCAATGCAATTCAATTCAATTATTGTTAATTTAATATTAACTTTTGAGTTGTTTCATATTATTTTTTCAATTTATTTTTCATTTGATTTTAAATAATTTACTTTTTCTTAAATTACATATGTACTTAGTTATTTCTCACTTATTTTTATTTTTCAAATAAATCACTTTAACTTTCCTATATAGAATGAACACAATACGATATAAATAAAAAATATTTAAATTTGACACCAGATTTGATCAAAGTTTGCTTGATGTGTAAACGGTCTAATAATCTAAAAGAAACCTCATTATATAGTATCCGTGATACAAATTGAACAGATGTTTTAGTTGCATAGCCATATTCACGAATCGAAATCACATCACTAAGCTACTTATATTGGAGTTTATATAAATTTATACTAATACTTTTTCAATAAGAATATTAAAAATAATTGAAATAATTGTAAAACAGTGTTTGATATACTAAAAAAATTAATAAAAATATGGAACATATGTTACCGAGTCCAGGTTTTTCAATACCAAGTATTGGAACACCAATTCATCAACCAGAGGCCGATCAAATGATCAATTTGAGCGCTGCTAATGCGGTGTATCAGCAACAAATGCAAATAAATCAACACGGAGCGTGTTTAGTTCAACAAAATTCTCATAGTACTCTTACAAACGTATTTGGAAGCCCTCCTAGGACCGTAAATAATTCAAGTATAATCTCTAGTTCTGTTCAATACAATGCCTCATCACCCAAACACATTCAGTCATACCTGCCTACGTTTAATACACCACAAAGTTTAATGCCGCCTCAAACACCGGTTAGTAATTTTATGTTATACTTAACTATGAATAACTATTCATTTTAGCAAAGTTTTATGTCACCGATGGTACCAATGCAAGAAAGAAGTAGCAATGAAGTAATAAATAACATACATCAAACTATGGGCCCAGCAACACCTATGACTCCAATGACACCTAGCTCAGTCGATTCTGGAATTGTTCCTCAATTACAGTAAGATTATCTATTAATGAAATATTTGCTTTAAACTTTGATTTTGTTTTTAGAAATATTGTGTCAACAGTTAACCTTAGTTGTAAGCTCGACTTGAAAAAAATAGCTTTACATGCCCGTAATGCTGAATATAATCCAAAACGCTTTGCTGCTGTCATTATGAGAATTCGCGAACCTCGTACAACTGCTCTAATTTTTTCTTCTGGTAAAATGGTTTGCACCGGAGCGAAAAGTGAAGATGATTCAAGATTGGCAGCACGTAAATATGCAAGAATTATCCAAAAATTAGGCTTTTCGGTAATAAAATTTTATAACTCACTGAGACGATCAAAATGAAATTTGCAATTAATGTTAAATGCTATAGTCAGAACCTGATTTAAACATCTCACTCAAAACTGAAATAGCTTTACGAAATAAACTTTGATTAATTATTTTCCTAATTTCACCCACAACTTTTAACTTTACTAAAATTCAGTTGACCAATTTTATTTAAAATTCTTATTAGTATATAATACTTCAATGATCAAGTAAAATTATTTGAAATCTTGTGTAAAAACAGCATAAGTTGGGTTGCATATACATATATATGTAAGTATTTGCAGTATGGAACTTAAGAATGCTTTTGCATGAAAATGAACAAGTAACTTGAATTTTGGATATAAAACTTCTAACAAAATACGCTCAATAATAAGAATAAGAAATAATAAGAACTGGGTTCGGATTGTGAAAATTATAGAAATTTAAAATAAAATTAAAGGATATTTCGCTTGTTTTATAAAAAAAAATAGGAAAAGGGTTTCTTAACGATTCAGAAAAAAACAAGATTTCAAATATATGTAGATCATTTGCTCTCGCAGCCTATACACTCTTAACTAAACTGCATTTGGAAAAACTACCTTAAAAGAAGTGTTAGGAGACGTTTTATACGTACATTATATTTGTCATAAACAAATTTGTAATATAAAATATGAAATTTCAACAAAAGTGGTAGTTTCTAATTTCTTTGAACTTCAGGCAGAAATCTTAGAACTTATTTGGTTGGTACGAAATTTTTGATCGTCTTTTAAAATTCAACCACAAATTGAGCAACTTTTATTTGAATATTTTCAGGCGAAATTTTTAGATTTTAAGATTCAAAACATGGTTGGTAGCTGTGACGTTAAATTTCCTATTCGATTAGAGGGTTTAGTTCTCACACATGCAACATTTAGTTCTTATGAACCAGAGCTATTTCCTGGACTGATATACCGTATGGTAAAACCTAGAATAGTGCTGTTAATATTTGTGTCCGGGAAGGTCGTGTTAACTGGTGCGAAGGTTCGCCAAGAAATATATGAAGCATTTGATAAAATATTTCCAATTTTAAAAAGTTTCAAAAAACAATGATACATAGATATTAATGATAGATAAAATAAATTTAAATCAGAAATTGGTTTATCATTACTTTTAATATTTCTAATTCCTTATATACTTATGTATGTATGTATGTACATAATATGGAACCCAAGAATAAAAACAAGTAACAGTTCCTGGTAACGCTATATATGTATGTACATACATTTTCAGGTCACCAATGAAGTTAAAATCAAGCCGAAATCTCAAAAACAATGAAGACTTCCAAGACCAAACAAAAATTTTTTTGAAATATTGCGAACTCAGAAGTTCAGACTAGTCTCAATTTGTTCGAATTATAGTCTCAATTTGTTCGAATTATAGTCTCAATTTGTTCGAATTATAGTCTCAATTTGTTCGAATTATAGTCTCAATTTGTTCGAATTATTAAGTGTCGAAATAAATACTGCGATTGAAATATTTTTTAGTAGCCTTCCGTTTTGACTATAATAAAAATCGGATGTTTTAAAAATTGCAATGATATTTTTCAAACGAATTTATCAATAGATTTTTTTTAAATTTTGAACCAAAAAGGATATGTAGCATTGTAGAATCAGCAAAGCTACAAATATTAATCAATTTCCTTCAGGGAAATAATTTCGAATACCCCTTTCAAGTAAACTTCATATAAACTTGGAAATTATATTAGATTTGATCCGTGAGCCTGGTGGACTTTCACTACAAGCTTCTTGACAGTAAGTTTATATATTATACAATGAAATAAAACCTTAGCCCCTTAGTATCTTTCTTAATATTGTATTATTTTTGCCATATCGATGCGAATCTAAAAAGTTAGTGCTTTTGAAATTCTTCTTTTAGGGGTATTATGAAATCTTATGGGTCATAATGGAATAAAATTATTTCGAAAGAAATGTCAAAACGATATTTATTTCATGTGACTAGAAAAATTTTCAAAACTTTGACTTTCATGCACAGTTTATTTTACTTTAAAACTTTATGATGGAGACTTTTATGATGAAATAGCAAAATAGATTTTAATTTTTAAATATCTATAATAAGGTAAATGTAAATAAAAAAAACTAAAAAAACACGAGAAAGTTTTGTGAAGTAAAATTTCGTCTGTTAAGGAATGAAAGTGTATAAAAGAGACAACGCAATATTTTTTAGGATTTTAATTAAACATTCCATTTATTGGATTTTATAGATTTACGTGGGTCTTTGTGTTTCGAAATTCTAGGAAGCCTCTTACACTGTTTTGATTTTTTAGACAATTGTATAAAATAAATAATTCACTGCTTCGTTTCATATTTATTCATACTGTTTTAATTTTAACCAGAAATAGGGTTTGTTCGGAATCATCAAATAAAAGTTGTTCGATTTTGCCAAAATCTAAAAAATATTTTAATTTTTGATACAATGTACTTATTTTTATAAACACATTGTATTATGTTACATTTAAGAATTTAAAAATCTGATGTATGTATGTATTGTATTATTTGATTCTATTACTTACTTTACGAAATCATTTTTGCTGCATTTGAATTGTTTATTCTAGTGTTGAAAACTTAAGATACTGGCTCTGGCCCTCCATGGTTTTCAAAAGAGTTGAGGGTACTTCGCAACAAAAACAATAAGCTGTAACGCAAATATCTCTTCACTTAAGGCGACAGGGACTATGATAATTTCCGATTGTCGTATGATCAATTTAAATTAGAAGCAAAAGAACGTTACGACTACTATATCTATAAAACTTCTGACAACTTAATACGTAATCCCAAAGTCTTTTGGATATTCATAAACCATATCTTTGAAAAATATCTTTCCAATTTGGGTTCTAGTTCTTCTCCTGCACTAGATGATGTTCCTGAAATTATTTTAAGCAGGTGCTGCTCTTCTCTGGCGCCCATCTTAACCGTAGTTTTTAATAAGTCTTATTCTTCGGGCATTTTCCCGTCCATGTGGAAGGAAGCTTTCAATAGGCCAATCCATAAGAAAAACAATAAAAATGACGTGTCAAACTATCGTTCTATAGCTAAACTGTCGGCAATTTCTAAGGTTTTTGAGTTGATGGTATATAACAACATTTATTTCCATTGTGAGCGTCAGCATGGCTTCTTCAAAAAAAAATCCACGGTGACTAACCTAGTGGAAGCCACGCAAGTTTTCTCGAATATGGAAAATGGGTATCAGACGGACGCAATTTACACAGACTTTAGCAAAGCCTTTGAAATACTACCACATGAAATTATTATTTTATAATTGAAAGTCTTAGGATTCCCTGACAACTTCTTAGCCTGGATAAAGTCATATCTCTCTGGCAGGACTTACAGAGTCCTTTTTCGTTCAGCAATTTCCTCACCTCATTCGTCTAATTCTGGTGTACCCCAGGGTAGTCACATAGGTCCACTGCTGTTCATAATTTCAATTAATGATGTTGTTTCCATGCTAATGTACAGTGAGGTATTAATATATGCTCATGACATGAACATTTTTAAAAAAATAAGCTCTACAAATGATGCGTTGTGTCTTCAGAATGATCTTAACCGCTTCTACGATTGGTGCTCAAGTAACAACTCAATCAATGTAAATGTGCACAAATGTGCTACTCTAGGCAAAATCGGCCATTTTTTACAAACTATACTTTGAATGGCCAAGCTCTTAGTCGAGTTGATTCAATAAAGGACCTGGGAGTTTGCTCCGATAGCAAGTTATCATTTATAAACCACTTTAATTATATCATATGCACATCAAGCTCGATGTTAGGTTTCATTAAACGGTGGTCAAAGGAGTTTAATGATCCTTATGTCTTAAAATGCCTAGTCCATCCTAATCTTGAATATGCTTCACAAGTATGGTCGCCTTATTACGATATTATATTAGTAGGATTGAGTCTATTTAAAAAAATTTTTTGAGGTTCGCACTGCGCCTTCTTCCTTGGGAAGACCCCATCATTCTTCCACCTTACGAGCACAGACTTAAATTAATTGACCTACCCACACTGGGTAAAAGACGTGACGTCGCGGATTCATTTTTCAGCTTATGAAAACTGTCTTAATCTCCTCCGACATTTTAAATAAAATTGTGATTAATTCCAACCTTAGGTCTCGTTCCCCAGATCTTTTCATGGTCCCTTTTCATAGGACAAATTATGGGAAACATGAACCTGTCAGTAGAATGCTGTGTTTATGCAATAAACACAGACTTGACTTTTCACTGAAGAAAGACACGATGAAAAAGCTTCAATTTACTTATAGTTAAGTACCCTTTGCTTTATTTTAACAAATTCTTGTTTTAGCTTTTCATTGTTTACATTCATATTTAATGGAATATTATTACTAATAAGTTTTATTTTGTAAAATTTTTAAATTTAATTTTTAAGTCAAAAATTTTTTCTTTCTAAAAAATATGTATGTATCTGTACATGCATTCTTTAATTTTAAGTTATGTAAAATATTTGAGCTAAACATAAATAAATAAATAAATATATCACTTTAATAAAACTTTTTGTTTTAATTTATTTTAATTAAAAAACATAAAAAACATATGTATAAGAATCAAAAAAATTTTGGACACACAATTTGGCAAATATTTTAAGGTTAACAACGTCGCAGACACAACAAATAAATTCTAAACATAACATATCGTAAAATTTTTAGCACTTTCCAAAAAATTTTTGAAAAAAAGTGTTTATTAGTTTCACTCTGTCCGTCCGTCCGTCTGCCCGTGTGTCTGTTTACAAAACTTCTACACTCTTGAAGATAGAAAGCTAAAATTTTACATGTATATAGATCTTTACTAGAAACTTATTTTCGTACAACAAAATTTTTAGCTATCTCCCCCCCTCTAAAAGTTATACCCCCCCCCCTATAAAAGTTATACCCCCCCCCCCCCCCCCCCCCAAAAAAACCTTAAAAATGACCTTTTTTAACTATTTGTTGCAATGAAACCATAAGCATTTTTGAAATTTTGCAAACGCAGAAAGGCAGTGGCTTGCTTCCCTTACCGTGGCATACTACAGTTAAACTTTAAAAAAACAAAATGGCCGTTATCTAAAATCCATTTTTACCAAATTTTTGATGTCGTTTTTTTTCTAGGCCCCAGGTTGTAGGAACCCAAAATTTTAGCAGCTTTTTTAGATACTAATAAATCATTTTTTTCGTTAAAGGAAAATTTTTTTTCATCTCCACCCCTTCTCAACTTATCGACTCTTGAAATTTAAAAAAGCTAACGGTCAATTCCATTACATTAAAAAATATCATTATTTTTTTTAACTCACGCAATTAACCCTTAAAATCGAAATATGTTAAGCCCTCTTTAAATTAATTTTTGCTTGCATAAATGAAGCAAAAAGACTGCATAATTCGTTTATCCTAAATATATGCAATCCTAGAAATAGTTTCGTATATGAATGAAAATATTTTTATAAATATTTTACATATAATAGTGTAAAAAAACATCTGACCATTGGTGCAGTGGTTATGGCACCGGCCCTTTAACAGAAGGGTAACAATACTAATAAATATTATATAAGTAATTTTCAAATATTCATGCTTAATATTCGATATTAAAAACTAAGAAAAATAAACAGTAAATATTAATAAGCTCAAATAATTGTAATATAAATAAAACTACGGCAGGCTAGTCACCTACCTAGTTAAACTGTATGACGCTATGAAACTAGTGCATGATATCATGCACTAGCCCTATGCTCCTTCTAGGAGTGAATAAGGAAAAAAAAAAAAAAAAAACATATAATAGTGTGGTAGATATACATGGACTGTATTTAAAAGCAGTATTTTCACTAATTGTTGAAGGGAAAAGTGTTATAATACATTGGTTTGCACCAAACTTTATTTATTACAAAAATGCTCATGCGTGGCAGCAATGTAACTTTTTTTTATTGAAAAATTAAATAATTTTTTTTGTTTTTGTTACAGTTTTATCTTTTATTTCTATTTTCTTTTTTTCCTTTTTTTACTTATTTTAAATTTTGTTTTATATTTATATAAAGAATGTTATTAGTCTCTAATATAAAAATAAGCAAAACGCTTACTAACGCGGAAATGAAAAAATTATGAATAGGTTCCTAGATGAAGATGATGAAGGATGTCTAAACCTAAGAGAGTGTGAAATTTCAAGTCTGATAGTGAGTTTGAAGCAGTCTATGTAATAGAAAAGATGAAGTAAGATGGACTGGTAACGGTTAAATAATCACAACGAACGGTAGTCAGATGATATACTCAGGGAATGATCAGGGGGTAGTAATGAGGTAGCTATAATATTAAACAACACTATTAGAAAATCGTTAATAAATTGGAAAGCAGTATTTAACAGAATAATAACGACAAAGATAGATTCTAGATTACGAATGATATCAATAGTGCAGTACTATGCCCCTACTGAAACCTCAAGTACAAGAGACGTAAATAGTTCCAGTGGTGCGTTGGGTCCCTTTGGTTATGGTACTCTTTGTAATAATGGAAGACGTCCCATTGATATTTGTACAGAACACAACCTGGCAATTGGCGGCACGCTCTTCCCCTACAAAGACACGCAAGTATACGTGGCAAGCAAGAAATCAAATTGGCCACATCTGCATTTGCAGTAAATGGCGACGTCTCTGCTGGATGTAAGAAATCGCAATGGTGATGATATCCACGGTGATCATGTGCTTCTTACTGGTGATGTAAAATTAAGACCATCTTCAATCCACAACAAACTTATCAAGAGAATGTCAAAATTAAATAAGGCAGGATTGGCATCTGAAAGTACGAAAGTTCAATTTGTATCCAGAATTCAGATGCAGGAACTATCGAAAATTATATTCAAGAAATCTACAGGCGAGCAGGGGAAGAAGTACTTGGCTTGGTTGAACCAAACCGGAAAAAGTGGATATTAAAGAAAGAGTGTAAATGAAACTTGGTCAAAGATATTGCAAAAAAGAGAAATAAAAGAAAAACTACTCACGCAGCCATTAGAAAACTTGAAACAACAATATAATAGTTTTGCAAAAGAAGTCACACGATCTGCCAGAAGAGGGAAACGAAAGTTCTACGTGAACGTAGCCCTAAATACAGAAACAGCCGCTCGCGGTAACAATATGCGCGACCTATACAAAAACATTCAGAAACCAACAAAGAATAACATCAACAACGAGCAGCCAATTAGAATCTCAATGGTGAGCTCCTTATCTCCACTCATTATTGCATTAAGGAAAAAAGGAATTCCAGAAAAAATTATAAACATAATCTAAGCAATGTATGATCAGAATGAAACAAGAATACTACATAATGGCACATCAAGCGAGCCAGTCATTATAAATAGTGGAGTTAAGAATGGTTGCCCACTCTCACCGGTACTAGATGTATAAGATGATAATTAACCGGTTCCTTAGAAGATCTTAATTACGGATATGAAATTGCCCTGCTTTTTCATACTTATTTCCATTCCGAGGAGATGCAAGTGAAACTCGACCTCCTACATACTAGAGCCAAAAGTGCTAGCCTCCAAATAAATACACGAAAAACAAACTCCCTAAGAATAAACTGCTGCAACACGAACACGTTCATGATAAACGACACAACTATAGAAGACGTCACTAAGTTCAATTACCTTATAACTACAATACATTTCATACAACAATTATAATAACTACAATAGGAGGAACAGACGACATTTTGAACAGGATCAAGCTAGCTAGGGCAGCATTTGGTAGAATGTGGGCTGCACTTAGGTCGTCCAGTCTCAGCAGAAAAACCGAGCTGAGATTGTTTAACGCATGTATAAAACCGATACTCCTGTATGGGAGCGAGATTTGGCACAAAAACTAAACCAGTATAAAGGTATTCGTCAACAAATGCCTCAGAAAAATATGTAGGACCTTCTGGCCAAATAGAAACTCCAACTTAAAGCTGTGGGACCTTACAGGTGAAGAATCCATAGCCACACAAACCAAAAAACGAAAATAGCGCTGGTTGGGGCACACATTAAGAAGGCCACAAAATGCAGTTTCACGTAAAGCACTAGAGTGGAACCCGCAAGGAAAACGAAAAGTGGATAAACCACAATGATGTGGGTAATAAAAAAAAATATCTTATCAGCTTACAAGAACTTCTGGGAATAGTCATAGCATTATATAGAAAAATAATTTTACATGTAGCACTCAAGTTCCCAAACGTGATAGACCAATTTTTCCAATTGAGTGCTTAATCTCCCTGAACCGAAAGTTATTGCTAAAGATGTTAGCACATCCCTAGGGCCTTGGGTAGTTTTATTTGACAATATCATGATGGAACTCATAGTAAGGCAATTTCGGCCTGTGAAATTTAAAATTTTGATCAGTGAATTTTTAGGGCTTTTAGAATTTAAAGAAACCTACTCTATCTGGTACAAAAAGGCCACGAAATTGAGTAAAAGAAACCGGTGTGGTTTCTGAGTTTGCAGCACCGTATGTGAAGCTTTTTTTATAAAAAAAACCTTTGTATACGTGTTGAAATTGCGATACGCCGATGTGTAGGGATGATACTACGTTAATATATGCAAAAATTGTTGACAAAAAATCGGTGATTTAATACCCTTTCACTAAATTGTTGCAAAATTTTTTTTGGTTTTTGCTAAATTTTTCTGTTTTTGTGGCACGGAAATTTTGAATATACTTAAATAATCTTAATGAATCCCCATTTTTCTAATTGCAATTGTTTTTTTGTTCTATAAAAGTATAGAAATTTTAAGATTGAAATACAGAGATATTAACAAATAAAGAATTTAAGCTTTTTTTGGGAAATTTATGGACAAGAGGCAAAAGTGGTACATGTGCGCCTCAATGTCCCTAAAATTTATGTGTGCAAGATTAATATTCACTTTCTATTGTTCATAATTTATTATATGAGAAAGAAGACAAAAAGTAGTATGAAAATTCACGTAGCGAAAGAAGAAGAACAAAAATCCACTGAATATACGCATATTGAAAGATTGAAAATGGTAAAACTTGTCACCTAATATAAACTCAGGTCGATTTCATGTAATAGGATATAATTGGAAAGTAATCAAAAATGTGCATCAATGCAGCATCGATGCAAAAAACATTTGATGCTATACCGATGTGGTGCGTTTACCTTGCTGATGCAATATTATTATGATATTTTTGGATACTTTCTAAATCATATGTTTATTGGCGTTTATTTCGAAAAGGTTTTGTGTAAATGTATTAAAATTATTAACAACTGAAAATCTAATAAAAAAAGTTTTTAATTTCAATTTAGTTTTGGTGATTTTAATATAATGGAACATTTAAAAATATTAATACCGTGCAGAAAGAAATAACTAACTTTATTAGTTATTGCGTTAAAAAATTATTAACTTAGTTATTAGTTATTGATTTAATAAATTATTAACTTCTCAGCTTCCATTTAAAAAAACTTTGCGTCCATACAAAATCACGAAAAAATTGATGCACTGCTAATTTAATAAGATGCGCATACGATGCGTATTTTTCACATTTTTTGACATAAAATTCAGAGATTATCGTATTACTGCATTTTTGTACATGATTTTTACATGATTACATATCGATGCTGCATCGATCAGCTTCCAGTTATACCTATATTATTTCAATCTGTATAGTATAATATGTGAAGACAATTTTAATTTGTATAGTATATACGCAGATTGAAATTTCCGTCAGGTACTCAATCATCCGCAATATAAACGAAGTTAATTGATGATAAGACAAAAAAAACAGTTGGCAGCAGTGTGTAAAAATATTATTTCAAATCAGGTCAACCCTTAGTAAATTTCTTTTCTTTTACAACATATATTGCATTTCCGTTCTAATACTCGGAGCAGCAAGTGAATATTTTGTTTTGTGAGTGATTGGGTTTCATATTCCTTTTTTTTGTAATTTATATTTTGCTAGAGTAAAATTAAGACAAGGAGTTGTAAATATCATCGACAAGGAGATTTAAAAATTCAGTCCTGCTGAGTCGTCAATATTTTTACGGTAACATTACATTCTGTTAATATCAATAAATATTCATAAGAGAGTTCGTGTGGTTGTAAAACTAAAATTATTAAAATATGTTTGTGATTTATAAATTTCTCAAGAGTGCCTATGCCAAGATCATAAATTTTATAATTAGCAACGATTTTTTCAACGAAGAGAAGATCTACGCTTATTGATTTTTCTTTATTGTCAAGTAACGCCTGTTTATGAATTGTTATTACGCCATTTTGTAAAGTACGATTCATATCCGTTAATCATTGTACGTACATAAGTATGTATTTTATGCGTGTACTAAATATTTTTCGAATTCAGCTGCAAAGTATATGTATAAAATTTACATAGGTTCGTAATTATCAGCGTATGTACTTAAAAACTTGGATTTAAGTAATTTTCCAAAAAAAAAAAAACATTACATGCAATAGCATAATTTTGATTATATACATAAGTATGTATATGCATGTGTCAATATTCGCAAAAGAATGGCCTTACTATCATAGGTTGTTGGAGTCTAACTTAGGCTAAAAATGTCCCACTGCGGGATCTATTTGAAATGGGATATATTGCTTAAAGATATAAACAATGTTAAAATCATAAATTTTGTAAATTTGTTGAAACGACGTTAATGGAACTAAGAATGTGGTTTAAAATTAATTGGTTTACTGAATAGTTATTTTTTTTTTTATAAATTTTGTATTAAACTGCTTCTACAAGATAAATGTATTTAATTGCATATTTAAAAAGAAACATTCGATACCTCTCGTCTTTTTAAAATAATTATTTAGTTCGAAATTTGCACTTCGAGCTTCGTAATAGCAGAGTTTAACAAAAACAGCTACCAAATCTTCGTCAAGTGCTATTAACTACACAAAACAACGTTTATAAAAATTTAAAGATGGGAGATAGCCGAGGCACAAGGGTGTATGTAGGAAACTTAACCGACAAAATCAAAAAGGAAGATTTAGAAGAAGAATTCTCTAAATACGGGAAATTAAACAGTGTTGTAAGTTTCGTACTCCAGTGTAGAGAAACTTCCTTTAATAATTTTTTCCTTTTTCAGTGGGTTGCCTTTAATCCTCCTGGATTTGCATTCGTAGAATATGAAAACCGCAATGAAGCTGAAAAAGCTTGTGATATTCTTAATGGTACTGACCTCTTAGGTTCACAGTTGCGCGTTGAAATTTCTAAAGGTCGTCCTAGACAAGGTAGAAGAGGTGGTGGCGGCAGGCAAGGCGGTGGTGGCGGAGGTCGTTTTGGTGATCGTGGAAGGGATTTTGGACGAGATCGCCGAGGCGGTGGTAGCGGAGGTGGAGGATTTCGTTCTGGTGGGGGTGGTGCTGGTGGAAGTTTTGGGAATCGTAGTGGTGGTCGCCAGGGTGGTGGTGGGGGTGGTTTTGGACGTCAAGGTGGTGGTGGAGGTGGCGGATATGGCGGTGGCGGAGGAGGACGTGATAGTGGTTTTGGCGGTGGTAGAAGTGGTGGAGGCGGTGGAGGTGGATATGGTGGCCGTGATGGAAGTTTCAGTGCGGGAAGAGATAGTAATTTTAGCGGTGGACGCAGTGGTGGTGGTTTCGGTGGTCGCAGTGGTGGAGGTGGTGGTGGAAGATTTCGAAGTAGGTCTCCGGCCGGTGGCAGGGGACGGTTTTAAATTTTTTAATTAATGAAATTAGCTTAAGAAAGTGCAGTACGTAAGAAAAATTGTGAATTTAAATTGACAAAAAAAAACTTTTATTGTATTAATATTTGAACTGAAGATATAAACTTCTACTTCACCAGTTTACAATTGGTTCAAAATTTTTAATAAAATATGTTTTCAATTTCTTTACGAAAGAAGAAAATAAATAAATTGGTCAACTATACATGTTATGGAACCTTAAAGTAATGAAAAGGAAAGGGGAAATTTCAGTTTGAAACCCCCCGTGACGTCATTAATGAGCTCACAACGTAAATTTTACAAAGTATCAAATTCCAAAAAGTTTAGTAAAAACTCCGTGACTTCAATAATGCTTTAAAAAAGATTTAAGTACGGTATTAATACGGTTGTAGTACCGTCTCAGAGCTTTCAGTACTTCTACATTGTAAAAAAAACTACTAAAGCTTTTCGTAAATTTTAGAATATAATTTTTACCACATCAATACAACTTTGACGTTTATTTGAAAATTTCTATACGTAGTGGGTACGTAAAATAAAACTAAATCGGGTATCGAAAAAATCGAGCACGTTTTTTTTTTGCATGTCAAAAAATAACCAATTGAATGAATTAGCATATATGTATTTTCAGCAATAAAGTGCTAGTTATTAAGTTTTTTTCCCGAAAAGGCAGCATAAAAATATTTTGTTTTTAATGATGTGGTAACGTTGTTACAAATTAACATTTTCTCATAACTTTAAATAGAAATTTTCAAACAAACGTTAAACTATATATTAATATTGTAAAAATTGCATTCCAATATGTATCAAAAGCTTCAGCAGTTTTTATACCCTGCACTTCGTGAAGGGTATATTAACTTTGGTACGGAGTTTGTAACTACTTGAAGGAGCCATCTGCGGTATGGACATATATATATATTCTTGCTCAGCGTAAAATTCTGCGTTGATTTAGGCATGTCCGTCCGTCCGTCCGTCCGTCCGATCGCACGATAACTCAAAAACGAATAATGCAATCGACACCAAACTTTCACAAGTTGCTTCTTTTGTGCCAAGGACGAACCCTATTGTTATTGGACCAATTCGGACAACGGGTTCGGGTAGCTGCCATACAACTCAAAGAGTTTATTTTAATTATTTCAAAAACTAATAAAGGTACATATATAAAATTTTGTATACATGTGTGCAATTACATTCTACATATGCTCTAAAAATTTTAATGAGATAGCTGCACCGGTTCGGGTGGCTGCCATACAACTCCAAAAGCAAATTTTTTATATTCGGCAAAATAATAAAGTCATATTCATGAAACTTGGCAGTTGTGTGTCCAATTATAGGTCAAAGATATTTCTGAAGTTTTGGTGGAATTGCTTGACAGGTTCGAGTAGCTCCCATACAAGTCCAAAAGCTTACTTTAAATATTTGAAAAAATAAAAAAGCTAGATTCATGAAACTTGGCAGTTGTGTGTCCGATTATAGATCAGATATACATGCGAAGTTTTAGTGGAATTGCTTGACAGGTTCTGGTATCTGCCATATAACTCCAAAAGCTAATTTTAAATATTTGGAAAAATAATAAAGACAGATTCATGAAACTTGGCAGTTGTGTGTCCAATTATAGGTCAAAGATATTTCTGAAGTTTTGGTGGAATTGCTTGACAGGTTCGAGTGGCTCCCATACAAGTCCAAAAGCTTATTTTAAATATTTGGAAAAGTAATAAAGTTAGATTCATGAAACTTGGCAGTTGTGTGTCCAATTATAGATCAGATATATTAGCGAAGTTTTAGTGGAATTGCTTGGCAGGTTCGGGTACCTGCCATACAACTCCAAAAGCTAATTTTAAATATTTGGAAAAGTAATAAAGTCAGATTCAAGAAACTTTGTAGTTGTGTGTTCAGTTATAGATCAGACATATCCGTGAAGTTTCTATAAAATGGTTTCACAGGTTTGAGTAGTTGCTATACAACAATGAAAGGTGCAGGGTATAATTCAATCGGTTCATACCGACTGAAACGTTTTTACTTGTTTTTACAACATAAAGGTATTGAAAGCTTTGATACGGTGGTATCAGAATAATGTCTGCATCTAACAAGTCCCAATGCTAAGAGAGAAACTTGAAAGCACGACCTTATTTTATATGGTTTTTTTTTAAATCGAAGTGGCTATTTTTTGAGAAGAAATATTAAAATAAATTCCCACTTATTATAAAGCAGGTAAAATTCTAAAAATATATTTAAAAAGTCAATAAAATATATTAATATTTTCATTCATAATTATTTTAAAATTCCTAAAATACATACAAAAAAGCGGAAAAACAACAAGCACAAGCTCGCCTTCTACATTTTATATTGTACTGAAAGTACTTCATTATTTTTAAGTGAACAGCTTTTTTTTCTCATAGGGCAAGTTTTTTTTTTTTTTATATTTATTATCTATATGTAGCGCTAAAACTGGTCAAAATGACCAACCATCAGCTTGTTTTGGTAAATTCTTAAACGTCAAATTTTACAAAATCTGAGTTGTCTGAGTTTACGGATACTCTACTACGTTTTTACTCTCAGTCAAAGTTTAAATTCTTAAACGTTTAAAAAAAGTCAATTAAGCGTCAAAATTGTAGATTTTTTTTTTACATGCAGACAGTCTGACGTAATTCAATAAATAAATTTCATGTGTTGAGCGACTATCATTACGTTAAAAATAATATAAAAAATATTTTTATTGTTAATTTTTAATATGTAAGTATAAAATTATTTTAAATCTAAAAAAAAAATTTTTTTGTTTTGACGTTTACGGATGATCAAAATTCAAAGTCAATTACGGGTAAAAAGTTTACTAGATTTCTGTCCGTAAAAGTTTTAGTTTCAGACAGTTTGCAGACTAAAATCAAAATTTTGACGTTAAAGAATTTGCGGTTTCTGTAATCCTAGCCTAATTAAATAATATTTGCTGAATCACACAATTGCTTTTCAACATTTTATCTGTTTCCTGTCAAATCAATTTCATATAATAATAATATATGTATGTATATTATAATAATAATATACACATAATGTAGACTAATCAAGATTTATAACCAATCGTAAGGCCTCTTTCGTTTTAATCTTCTGGAACCATTTTCATCCCCTGTTAAACTGAGTTTTGATGCTTTAATGTTAGTATGTGATGCTAATTTTTCGTAATGTTTTACAGCGAATCTTTATTTCTTCTTGGACTGTTTTTATTTTGAGGTCTCGATGTAAATCAGCATTTCTAACGTACCATGGAGCTTTAACGATGTTTCTAAGATCTTTATTTTGAAATCTCTGGATGATATCTATATGACATTTACTAGCGCAACCCCAAAGTTGTATTCCATAAAGCCATATTGGTTTTAATATCTGGTTATAAATTAAAAGTTTATTACCTATTCTGAGTTTGGAGTAATAACCAATCAGCCATATTTAACTTTTAACTAACTTTGCATATTTAATTTTTAATTCTGTTAATTTACTGTTAATGTGGTCTCTCCATAATAACTTTTTGTCCAGTATCATACCCAGGTACTTGACTTCTCCTTCATTAGATGTGATTTTACCGTTTAAATATATTGGTAAGTCCTGGCAATTTTGTTTGTTTGTAAAATTTATGTGTATTGACTTTTGTTCATTTATTTTCATTTTCCATTTATCTGTTCATTCTAAGATTTTGTTTGCATATTGTAAATTTTGTGTTGAGGTAATGTCTTTATATCTAACAAGTCCCAATGCTCAGAGAGAAACTTCAAAGCACGACCTTATTTTATATGGGTTTTTTTAAATCGAAGTGGCTATTTTTTAAGAAATATTAAAATAAATTCACACTTATCATAAAGCAGGTAAAATTTAGAAAATATATTTGAAAAATCAAAAAAATATATTAATATTTTCATTGATAATTATTTTAAAATTTAAAAAAAAGCGGGAAAACAACAACCACAAGCATCGCCTTCAACGTTTTATATGTTACTGAAAGCATTTCATTATTTTTAAGTGAACTGCTTTTTTTTCTCATAGGGTAAGTTAACTCAAGATGTTAAGTGGTGTCAAGTTGAAAATGTAATTAATGAAAGATAATTCTTAAATATTGATATAAATAAATAGTAAAGAAAAAATTTGAAGAGGGAATTAGAAAATAATATTTAAAATACAATCAAATATTATTTGTTAAATACAAATTTTATATAAACTTCAAAATATTACCTCTATTTTTATTTGAAAAAATATTAAAAGCTTACTATCATTTATATCAATTACCTAAGAAAAAAAATATTTAAAATGTTTGGAAAAAACAATCATATATTTTTATGACCGGATTTGAATATTTTTTTATTTTTGAAATAAATGGTATTTTACCAAATGACTCAAAAATTCCGACTGTAAAATAACAGGTATTTTAAAATTTTTGTTCAGGTTTTTTTAAAATTCTTTCCGTTTAGAATTAAGATAGGTCATACATACACATGCAGGGACATTTTATAAATAGATTGCTCTTGTTTACCTGCTAATAAAATATGAAAAAAGAGAACATTTTTGCTAGCCGACACTACTCAACTTACCTTATTGGGAAATACAAAATATGCATGAAAAATCATACATCCTTCCTCATTAACATTTGAAACTGAGATATGAATTTCAAATTTTTTTTAATTTTTTCTTTCCTCCTACCTTTCTTTTTTTTTCCTGCAATAGAATTCAAATGGGAAGCTTTTTAAAAAATGTGTATAATATCCTGAGATTTTTTAAAATATTAATCTCTTTTTTACGTAAAAAAAAGAAAAAAATAATAAGAAATATGACACGATCAGTAGCATTTAAAGAAAAAAACAGGAACGAAGCCAAAAATTTCGTAATATTTCGTAAAAAAATTGAGTATTGGGACTTGTTAAATATAAAGACATTAGTGAGTGTCCACACTTTTAATATTAAGTTAGAACTTAGTTATCAAAAATGTTGTTAAATAAACTTTTGACACTTGAAATAAAATACTGATTTCAGAAAATGGTGCTGCTATAAGTAATGCACTATCTCTTTTCTCGTCTTTCCGTTGCGCATTATCATTATTATAATCTATACTATTCATTTTGTTCACTTTTTAATAATCTCAAATGTCATTTTTTTGGAATTTCGAAAAGAACGAATTTTTTTAGCGAATTTAATTGTTCGCTGACCATATCTTATCATTTGGCGAATATT